ATCATCATCATCATCACCATCATCACAATCATCATCAACATCAACATCATCATCAGCAGCATCGGGACACAGTCATCGTCATCATCATCATCAGCAGCAGTATCATCATCGGGGCACCATCATGATCACCATCGTTATCATCATCATCATCGGGACACCATCATCATCATTTCATCCTCATCATCGACATCATCATCATCAGCATCATCAACATCACCATCAGCATCATCATCATCGTCATCATCGGGGCACCATCATCATCATCATTACCAACATCAGCATCAACATCATCATCATCATCGTCACCATCGGGACGCCATCATCATCAACATCATCATCATCACCATCAGAAAAATCATCATCATCGGGACGCCATAATCATCATCAACCTCATCATCATCAACATCATCATCATCATCGGGACACAATCATAATCAGCATCATCAACATCAACATCATCATACTCATCATCATCGGGACACCATCATCGTCATCATCATGATCATCAACATAATCATCATGATCATCATCATCATCCTCATCATCGGGACACCATCAGCATCATCATCGTCATCATCGTCATCATCATCATCATCATCGACATCATCATCATCATCGTCATCATCATCGGGACACCATCATCATCATATCATCATCATCATCATCGTCCATCATCATCATCATCAACATCATCATCATCATCATCATCATCATCATCATCATCTCATCATCATCATCATCATCATCATCATCATCATCATCATCATCATCATCATCATCATCATCATCATCATCATCATCATCATCATCATCATCATCATCATCATCATCATCGCGGGACACCGCGGGACACCGGCGGGACACCGCGGGGCACCGCGGGACACCGCGGGACACCGCGGGACACCGGCGGGACACCGCGGGCCACCGGCCGCCCGGAAGGGAGACATTTGGTCCGGCCGTGCCTCAGCCACACGGGACACGAGCGGGACACCGGCGGGACACCGCGGGCCACAGGCCGCCCGGAAGGGAGTCATTTGGTCCGGCCGCGCCTCAGCCACGGGAGATTTTCTCTCGCCCGCCCACGCAGCTTCGCCTCGCCCGCACGGCACGCACGAACACGAAGCCGAAATCGATTTCCCGGTAGGGGGGCTCTCCGTTCCACTTCGATCTCACCCCTTCACCTCCGATACATATATATATATATATATATATATATATATATTATATATATGTATGCATGTATGTAGGTATGTTTGTATGTAGGTCTAGCTGTATGGATGCATGCATTCATGGATGCATGCATGTTTTTTTTCACGTATGTGTGTAGGCAGGTCGGTATATATGTATGTATTTATTTATGGATGCATGTATGTATGCATGTCTGTCAGTCTGTCTGTCTGTCTGTCGGTCTGTCTGTCTGTCTGTATGTATGTATGTATGTATGTATGTGTGTGAATGTGTGTATGTATCTCTCTCTATATCTTTATACCGGAGGTGAGGGGGTGAGATCGAAGTGGAACGGAGAGCCTCCCTACCGGGAAATCGCTTTCAGTTTCGTGTTCGTGCGTGCCGTGCGTGCGGGCGAGGCGAAGCTGCGTGGGCGGGCGAGAAATAAGTCTCCTGTGGCTGAGGCTCGGCCAGACCAAAAGTCTCCCTTCCGGCAACCGGTGCCCTGCGGTGTCCCGCCGGTGTCCCGCTCGGGGGCCGGTGGCGCGCGGTGTCCCGCCCGTGTCCCGCCGGTGTCCCGTCGGTGTCTCGATGATGATGATAGTGATGATGATGATGATGATGATGATGATGATGTTGATGATGTTGACGATGATGATGATGATGATGATGATGATGATGGTGATGGTGGTGGTGATGATGGTGTCCCGATGATGATGATGATGTTGACGATATTGATGATGATGATGGTGATGGTGGTGATGATGATGGTGCCCCGATGATGATGATGCTGATGATGTTGCTGATGCTGATGATGATGATGTTGCCCCGGTGATGATGATGATGATGATGATGATGATGATGATGATGTTGATGATCCTGATGATGATGATGATGATGATCATATGAATTGATGATGATGAAGATGATGATAATGATGATGGTGTCCCGATGATGATGATGATGAGGATGATGATGATGATGATGATGATGCTGTTGATAACGATGGTGATGATGATAGTGTCCCGATGATGACGATATTGATGATGATGATGGTGCCCCGATGATGGTGGTGGTGATGATGTGGATGATGATGAGGTAAGGATGATGATTTTGATGATGGTTGTCCAATGCTGGTGGTGATGATGCCGATGTTGATGATAATGATGATGGTGTCCCGATGATGTTGATGAGGATGATGGTGAGGATGATGGTGACGATGATGATGGCGCTCCGGTAACGATGATGCTGATGATGATGATGATGATGATGTTGCTAATGATGATGATGGTGTCCCGATGATGATGGTGATGATGTTGATTATGTTGTCCATGATCATGATGATGAGCTGATGATGATGGTGTTTCGATGATGGTGATGATGGTGTCCCGATGATGTTGATGATGATGATGGTGATGATGATGGTGTCCCGATGATGATGATGGTGATGATGATGATGTTGATGATGATGGTGATGAGGTGATGATGATGTTGGTGTCCCGATGATGCTGATGATGGTGTTGATGACGTTGATTACGATTATGCTGATGATGATGATGATGACGTTGATTGTGATAGCGGTTGTGATATCGATAGTGAGATCGATAGTTAGACCGAATGTGAGATCGATTATGAGATCGATAGTGAGATCGATAGTGAGATCGATTGTGAGATCGATAGTTAGACCGATTGTGAGATCGATTGTGAGATCGATATTCAGATCGATTGCGAGATCGATTGTGAGATCGATCGAATCAAATAGATCGAGTGAGATCGATTGTGAGATCGATCGAGTGAGATCGATCGAGCGAGACCGATAGTGAGATCGATAGTGAGATCGATAGTGAGACCGATCGAGTGAGACGTTGGTTCCCCCCCCCTGAACCTCCTTATCATCCGAAGGGTGGTCGTATAGGTAGTTATATGTAGGGTAAGAGGCCCAGGGTTCCAGGCCAGGGACGTCGAACCCCAATGCGAGTGCCTGGGGCTCACTGCAGAGGTCCTTGAGCTGTTTCTGGGGATCCCAGGGCTCAGGCGGGCGCGCCCGGAGGCCCTGAGGAAGCCCAGAGAGGCCTCAAGACGTCCAAGACAGGCCCAAGAAGGCTACCAGAACGTCGATAGAGCTCCCTGATGTTCTCGGGAGGACCCTCCAGGCCCCCCTGACAGGCACAACTTCTAGATCTCCCGAGCCTCGTCGGTCTCCAGGAGGCTTCCAAGATCGCCGCAAGACTGCTTACAAGGGACCCCGCGAGGCTTCCCAGCGGGCCCTGGAGAGCTCCAAGGAGGTCTTTGGGGGGATATTGGGGCTCCGGGCGGGCGCGCCCAGGACGGTGTGGGGGCCTGTGCCCCGAGAGCGCCGAAGCTCTCCAGACGCCACGAAAGCGGGCCTTCGAAGTAACGACTCAGAGGCCCCCGCCAGGCAACATCCATGGACTTCCTGTAGGTGTTCCAAAGACTGCGCCTAGGCCTACCAGCGGCGCGATCCTGTGACCTCATCGCGGCAAGGGGAAACAGATGCCCGTCGTGATTGTTTAGCCACGCGCAGAGGGGGTTGGGGGGAGGGGGGAGGGCTTCTTAGAAACACTCCTGCTTCTTAGAAGACGCGGGCCTTATCTATAGATATAGGGCCAGCGCCGTCTCTAAGAAGCAGCCTCCTTCTAAGAAGCCCTCTCCCCTCCCTCCATCCCCTTGTGCGCACCTCCAACAGATGCCCCCTCCAGGCAACATCCATTGACTTCCTGTAGGTGTTCCAAAGACTGCATCTAGGCCTCCGAGGTGGGCCCCGAAGAGATTTGGGTCGAATGATCGCGCCACATCGCCGCTGCATCGTCCATGCCGTTCGATGTGAAGCCTGATTTTCTCCGCGCCGGCGTCGCCCATGCATGGCCGACCCTGACGATGCATCTGGGATGCATCGGGGATGCGGCACGATTCTGCGACCCCATCACGGCAAGAGGAAAATGATGCCCGCCATGTTTGTTCGGCCACGCGCAGAGGGGGGTATGGGGGATGGGGGAAGGTTTCTCAGAAGCACCCCTGCTTCTTTGAAGGCGAGGGCCTTGTCTGTAGATGTAGGGCGGGCGCCTTATCAAAAGCAGCGCGGATCCGAGAAATCCGCGCGGAGCGCCAACAGTTCATATTTATGGCGTTTTTTCTTCTTCGGTGTCAGGCGTCCCGCCCTCTCGGCCTCCTTCCTGCCTGGAGGGTTTCTCCGAAGGACTTAGGCGACCCGTCCTTCTCCTCCTCCTCCTCCTCCTTCCTCCTCCCTCCTCCTCCCTCCTCCTCCTCCTCCTCCTCCTCCTCCTCCTCCTCCACCTCGGGTCGCCTACGGCAACAGGGGGAACCGTGCATTGCTGCCCTTTCTCTTGTGGGCCCTCTCGGCCTCCAGATATTGTAGGGCGGCGGGAGGCCTCTCTCGCTCGTGGGCGGCCCGCCCTCTCGGCCTTCGAGCGCGCACGGCAGCCCGCGAGGAGGCGCACAGCAGGGGGCCCGCCGCCCCCGCCCGGCAGCTCCCTACGTTTAAGTCGGGCCTGTCCCTCAACAGGAGGAATCGTCAAACATAGTATGGTCAAACAATAGTCTGGGGACGATTTTTTTTAACACCATGTTTTACCATTTTAAAGGGGGTATTCTTTGACTATTTTTCTGATTCTTCGTCCAAACTCCCCCCCACCTGACCCTACGTACGCTCATGGCGAAACGCGGAGCGCCCCCCTCCCCGCTCGTCGCCGGCGGCGGCGACGCCGACGGCTACGCCGACGGCGGCTGCGACGGCGGCTGCGACGGCGGCGACGGCGGCTGCGGCGGTGCTGGCGCGCCCTGCCTGCGAGGAGGCGGCCGAAGCAGGTCGCGGTCGCCCCGCCGGGGCTGGGCGTCGTCGCCCGGGCGGGGGCGAGGACCCCGGCGGCCACTCCGCGGCCCCTCGGCGGCCCTCGGGCGGCCGCCCGTGGCCCGTCGGCTGCCCTCGGCTGCCCGAGCGGCAGCGTGGAGGCTGACGTCGTCTGCGCACCGCTCCTCGTCCGAGGCGAGGATGTATCCAGAAGCCACTGCCTGGGGGATCGATCTCCAGGGGCCTCGGCAGGTGGTGGATCTGGGCATGCTCGGACCCTTGGGGGGGGGCTCGAAGATCGATCCCCCAGGCGGTGTGTATGGATAAATGACCAGCTCGAAGCTAGGACAGATCTGACACAGTGGGCAGATCTCGCAGGTTTTTCTGGCGGAATCGACGACCTCTGACCTCAGATCTGGTCCAGCAGGCCTTGCCTGCGTGCGGTATCCCGCGAATGTGTCAAGGCCAGCAGAGTCACGAACGTCGTCTTCGTCGTCGTCGTCGTCGTCGTCGTCGTCACCGCCGCCGCCGCCGAAGGAGGAGGAGGAGGAGGAGGAGGAGGAGGAAGATGAGGAGGAGGAGGAGGAGGAGGAGGAGGAGGAGGAGGAGGAGGAGGAGGATTGTGGCGATGGTGGAGACGATGAGGAGGAGGGGGGAAGGAGGAGTGGCGCCGCCGCCCGCCTATCCCCCTCTCCCCTTCTTCCTCCTGCTCCCTCCTCCTGCTCCTCCTGCTGCAGCTGCTGCTCCCTCTATCCCCTTATCGGCCGTCCTCGTTCGCCCCCCTCCCCCAGCCATTCTTCTCCTACTCTTCCCGCTTATGATCATCATTACTTTTAGGAGGAGATGAAGGCGGAGGTGGAGGAAGGGAATGAAGGGTGAGGACACCTTCCCAGCGTCGCCCGCGCTATACCACAGTCGAAACCTGAATTCTAGATCACCAATATCTAGTGCCCTTCGGCCCATCTCGCCACCGCGCCTGGGCTGTCGGCCAGGGGCCTCTTGGATGCCTGTTGGGGTCTCTTGGGACGTCCCTTGGAGGTCTCCTGAGGGCCCTTGGCGGCCTCTTGAGGGTCTCTAGGGGTGAAAGCCTCTTGGAGGGCTCGTGGGCGCGTCTTGTCGCCTTGTGAGGACGTTTCGGGGCCTCGAGGGGGCTCGCGGGGGCATGTTGGGGGTCTTGGGCCTTGTCTTGGGGGGAGAGGTTCCCGAGGCCCCTTCGTGGTAACACCCTCCAGGGCCGCCCGAAAACATTGAAACATATTTGGTTCAATGATGTTCCATGGCGCCAACACCGCAGAAAATCGTTCCGGATTTCGAGGTGAATTTCGTGCGTTTTCTTTGGCCAGGAATGAAGACTACAAGAAATCCACGCGAAATTCATGTCGTTTTTCACTCGCCGTCTCGGGGTTCTGCATTGACAGAAATCCACGCAAAAATCCGCTGCAGCACGTCTGCAAGGTCGGTGCAATGAGGGTTTTGACATCGGGTAAAGTCACGCGGCGATCTCCAGAAGCCATGCGTGAAGTCTAATGCCTGGGGCTTCTGGCCTTCTGACAGAGAATCTAGCGGCCTTCGGCCCTCCCCGCCACCCTGTCTTGGCTGTAAGTCAGAGGCCTCTTGGATACCTGTGGGGATTTCGTGGTAGGCCTCTCGGAAGCCTCTTGGGAGCGGCTTTGGGGGGTTGTCTGGGGGGCCTCTCGTGGGCCTCTTGGGGACCTCTTGGGGCCTGATGTGGGCTTCTTGGGGGCCTCCTGGAGCTTCTGGGGAGCTCTTGGGAGCCTGCTGGCGGTCTCGGGGGTGGCTCGAAATGTCGTTTCGTGTTTCCCCTCTGGGGCCGTCTTGGGACGTCTAGGTGGCTTCTAGGGACGTCTTGAGAGCCTCTTGGCCCGTTTTGGGGCGATCTCCGGGCTTCTTGGGCCGTCTTGGTCGGACGGAACTCCGAAAGGGTGACAACTCCCAAATCCTTCCAACATGTAAATCAAATCCATGTTATTGGCCTCTTGGGGCCCTCGTGGGGGCCTCTTGGAGGACTCTTAAGGCGCCTTGGGGGCCCCGTGGGTCGTCTTGAGCCCTTTCGGGCATCTTGGTGCGATCTTGGGTCGACTCGGGGTCGTTTTGGACCGTCGCGGGGGCGCCTCTTTGGGCGCCTCTTGGCGCCCTTCTTGGCTCAGGAAGAAAATCACGCGGGCCCACGCCCTGGCACGCGGGACGCCGCGGGAACTCTTGCAACAGGGGGTCCAGGCTTTTTCCTGCTTGGTCATTGTGGACAGGACTTGAAGAACCTGAGGACACTCCAGCTCGTGTTCTCCGCGTCCTGCGCACTGCCCTTGACACTAAAGGAGGCTGGGGCAAAGGTGAGAGATACCAAGCGTTTGTCCGCGGCCGTTTGTACTCAAGCGGCCGGCTGCCAACATATGACTGCGCCTCATCGCGAGGCACACTACTTGCCATTGAGACCGAAAACATCTTCGCTTGACATGGTCCGTCGCTCCCGCGACGATCTCCTA